TGTTTCCATAGCAGGATATGACAACACTACTATGAAATTCAAACAAATTCAGGGTCACTTTCAGTAGCAGGATAAACATTTTGTACAGCAAATTAAGTCACATACATAGTGATAAAGGTTAGATATATATGAGCATGGAAAACAATATTTGAGCAAAAATCTGGGAAGCAATAAAAACTGCAAGTAATGTTAAAGTAAAAAAAAAATACAATATTTGGTCTGGTGCTCCTACTGTGCATCTTGACATTCTTGACAAAATCCGGAGATGGGTCTGTAATACAATTGTTCCTGACCAGGCATCTCATCTCCAGTAACTTTCTCACCGATGTGATGTAGCATGACTTCCCTCTGCCTGTTCTACAAATATTTTCATGGTAACTGCTCGGACAAACTTTTTCCTACATGAATTTAAGCATGCTACTAGATTGGCAACTAGCTCTCACCACTTTACTGTTGAACTAGCTAGATTCAACTGTCATTTCTACTTTAACAGCTTTTATTCTTTTTTTTTCTTTCTTGCTTCCCTGATAACTACAATCTTCAAAAATTTAAATGCAATATCACTTGCTGTCTTCTTAAAACCTGTTCCTTTTTTACCCTTTCCTCAATCCTCCCCATTTTTAATCTTATCACTCACTTTCACTCCCTGTAACCCTCCTGTATTCTAGTGCCACTGTCACCTTGCTTGAGGTGAAATGATTAAAAAAAAAACAAACTAAAGACTGGACATTATAGAATGTCAAAAAGCCCATATTAAAATATAAAGTAATGTATTCTTGTATATGATATTTTGCATTAACCAAATGTTTTTCTAGCCCATGTCTTTTTGATTAAATAAATAAAAATTTGTTAGCCTTTGTATAATAAAACCTAATATCTCCAAAATAAGCTATCACTATTTTTAATAAGGTGCAATTATGTGAGTTTCAGCTTACTAACTGAAACTCAGAAAATATAATGCTCATATGTCCTGAAAATTTTACCAGCATCAGTTGGTAAATATAAGTTTTCTTGTGAACATATTTACTTGCATAATAAAATATGGTATAGTGTACAAAATACACACTTTGCGTGTGTTACACTTTTCTATGTTTGCAGTAGACAGATGTGCAAATTGCCCATGGACCCTTTTGATGATATAGAAAATAAATGTAATATAATGACATAGATAAGCCTTTTAGAGTAAGATGTTTAAATATGTATTATAAATTAGTTTTGTTTATTATAATTGTTTTCACTCGTAACTTCATTGGAATTTCATTTAAATATATTGGACATGAATAAGAAAATGCAGAATATAGTTTGTTTTTATATATATATATATATATATTTTATTATAAGTACATTTCAGTTGAAAAATTATGTAAATATTGCTATCATTGTTTTGATTTTATAGGTAAACTACTTTAAAATAGTTACTTTAACCATTGAATAATGTTATTAAACCATTCGATGAGATTTTATACACACCTATACACTTTCTCTCATCCACAGGTAGCATTCTTTTCTAGATTAAATTTATTAATTGAAAAGAAGGCTATTACTCAATTGTTATATAAATGTACAAGTAGACACCTTGCTATGGGCATAGGGGTTCATAAGTTACTCCTACAGACCATAACTACCATAGTAAGTTCATTCCTAATTGGGTGCTCCACATTTAGACTTTCCCCCAGGCTAAACAAAGCTTAATAAATATCAAGGTTCCTTACCAAATAGTACTATCAGTCCAGTCTTGTTAGACTCTTACTACTGTAATGAGTTCCACACTATGGCCTTATGTCAGACTAAAGTAAGCTGAATAAATACCTTTATAAAACATCAACAAAAGAACAGTTTTCTACAGTGGTTTATACATTTTTAGTTATGATGTTCACTGACTTATTTAGACTTACATTTTCATCTTTTGTTTCAATTACTGCATGTACTCTTAACAGTTTCACATAACCTGCATATTTTAATGAGGAAGGCTGGAGGGCATAACAGCCAAAACACTGATAAAAACAATAGTCTAACTATAAATAGTGTAAATAATACAGATTTTAAATCAACAATTGAATAAGAATAGAATTCATTAAGAAAGCATAGCATACACTGGCTAACATTGCATTGGATTAGTATTTATTTGAAAAATATATTTGGAAATGTTCTAGCCAAAAAGCTGTTATGAAATGATGATCATCTTACTATATAATCCTTTGTTTTTTGTTTCCCGTGTCTGTAACTTGTTGCTATACAGGTATTATCTTCCTTACACTGGTGATTTATGTATCTTTTTAAAAGCTCGCACATTAAAACCTTCTACAGACTTAGCAAAATATGACTTTTGATGGCATAAGTAAACTAGTTTCCTAAATTAGGATTGCTTGTTAGATTTAATATTTCTGAAGTAAAGACCTTTCATTTAATACAAATTTCATGTTTTTCTTGACTATTCTTTCCAATTTTGTATTTTTTTAAATTTCCATCTGAATTTAACTGAATAATTTTTTTCCTGTTACACTTGAAATATTTATTAACTGTCATATAAAAAGAATACTCACTTGTTTGATCTTTTTTAGGAAAATCAAACAAATTCAAAATTCCTATCTGGACTGTGGTAAGGTAATAAACTTCTTAAGGCCCAAAAATCATCATTAAAAGAATTTTGTTTACAAATGATATATTTGGCCATAATTAGCTAAATTAATAAAGTTAATATTTTTAGAATAGAACTTGTTTTTATAGTTTATTTCTTTTAATCTTTTAACAATAAAATGAGTAGTCTTATTATGCAATATTGCCAAAACTTGTTAGTAATGTTTTTATCACTGTTGACAGATTTGTATGAATCGAGGTTTACCAAAACCTTTTATTAAGAAATATTTACAGGGTATTTGTATTAATTGCTAAAACTTTATATTATTCTTCATACTGGTCATCTTTTTCTTTTTGATATTTAAAAATAGTATTTTATAATCATATTGAATTTTCAAATTATCTTGGTTTATCATATGTGGAAAGAAGCATGTAATTAGGGTGTTACAAGATCTCCATGATTTTTAATAACGAAATACACATTTTCTTTGCTATGCACAAATAATGCTCAGAAATCAGTTATCTTTTCAGATAAAAAATTATTTTGAATGGAATGGCATTATATAAAGAAATAAATTGATGATTTCTTGGGTTTTCTGTGAAATTTACCAAAATTAAATTCTGATAAGTGAAATAACTATCAATAAAAATGACATTTCTTGAAAAAAATCTATAATAAGAATATTCAGTGTGATTATAATTACATCATTTGTCCTCTATCATTGAAAGAAGCACTCATTGCATGTTTGGTAAATTTGTTAAAAATAGGATAACTATAGATGCTTGTTGATATATTTAATGTTTTTAGATTGTGAGTCCTTTCGTTTCTTGTGTAAAAAAAAAAAAATGAAAGTAATTCAATGTAACATTTGACAATATCAATAAAACCTTTATTTGTAACATGCTTAATGTTTTATCAATCCCATTTTTGTTCAAAAACTGATATAAAACTTTAGTTATATTCTTTTTGAATACAAAACAAATTCCCCCCACCTCAACTTCTGTGCATAATGATATAAGATGTTCTCATTTTCACAACTTGTGATCTTGTAACGGTCATTTTGTGTGAGCCAGGATTAGCCTAAGTATTTATAAGCACCTCATAAAATATTTAGTATTGCAGACACGATGGATTACTGCTAATTGAGTATCATATTGAAAGAAAATAAAATATTTTTAACACATGATTGGTACATACTTAATTTTCTAATTACATATTTCTTCATTTTCATTTCAGGATTCTCAGTGTTTTACAGTTTTGTTCTATAAACAAAACTTTTACATTCTTATACCCTTAGTTTATATAGCACATAAAGTGACATATTTTTAAATTTTTTTACAAAATCATCGCAAGAAAATAACAAGTTATTAAAAAAAAATCCCTGCATTATTTTTTTTTTTTTTTTTTTTTAATCAACTAATTCTAAAATATACAAAAATCTATTAGATTTATTTATTTTTTTCATTTAAAATTATATTTTTGTAACATTGTCCACATTAGTTTGAATTTATTCACTTAACTCTTTGCTGGTGACCCTATAAAAAAAATTAAAAATAAATAAAATTGTAATAGGAAGCCATTTTTATTTTGTTTCATAAAATTGCATCCTCAATATAAACCATTACACTGAAATTTTCTCCCAAATCCCAAACTCTGTCATATCCAAACTTCCATTTATTACTACAATTTACAAATCTATTATTAACTTGCTTAAAAGCCAACTTATTGGATGGCATTTAAGTTAGGTCTTGCAAAGGGCTCTTGATTGGGCCTTCATCACAATAGGTAGGGCGGAGTAGATATGATAAGCAACAATAGACTATGGAAGAACTCAAAATTGATCACTGTATTTAAGTATTGCATTAATATTTACCTTTTAAAAGTGCAATGATGATTCTTCTGCCACCACTTTGATTAAAGACAATTTGATGTACATCGGTCCATACTTTCTGTACAAACAATTAATTTTATCTCATATGACTTTCACTGGATTTCACAATTAATTTCAATTCCCAAATTTATTTCCAAGTTATAAAAATGATTATCATACAAAAAAATTTATTGTAAAAATCACATTAAAAAAAAAAAAAATCACAGTAATGAAAACTTGCGAATCCAAAATTTCAGAATTGCAGTCTGGATCCAGTCACAGTCAGCCTAATTCCAAAATTGTATGATATGCTGGTCTTTAAAATACATTTTTTTTTTTTTTTTTTTTGTTGTTTTCAGACTTACTTTCACAAGTAATGGATACATTAATTCACATTTCAATTTCTGTCTTGATTAATTTTTTTTTATTTATTTTTTTTTATTTTTTTTAGGCTGAATCCATTCAAAATTACATTGTTTTGATTTTGTTCATTCAGGATATTCCTTTTATTTATTTAAAAAATTTCAAAAATTCCATTGTATATTTTCCCAGCTTTCAATATGGAGCAGGAAATACCTGACTATGATATGGATAGTGAGGATGAAGCCTGGTTAAATGAGCAAGCCAAGAAAATGGAAATTACACCCTTGAAATTTGAAGAAATGTTGGATCGGTTGGAAAAAGGCAGTGGTCAGCAGGTACTTAATTTTGTTTTCTTTTTAAATAAATTTATTCTTCAGAAAATATGTAACTTTAGAGATTTAAGGGACATGTTAACTATGCTACTTGAGAAAAGTAACGCACTACAGTAGAACCTCATACTATGAGTGCATCATTATATGAGCAACTGTCATATACTCAGAAGCAGTTGGTGACTGAGGTAAAGGGAAGCATTGCCAGCTGATGTTATCTATTCCTAAGAAACAACATGGTCAAAGGCTAGGTGAAGCGCATTTGTGAACACCTCCCTTTCCCGACATGCACGGAGAGAAGCTGATGATATGAACTTCAGCTGCTTCAGGAGCATCAAAACATGGAGGTGGTAAAGGAACTACCCAAGGAGGAAAGTGTGTCAGAGGTTGCCCCCATTGGCTGAGATCAAAGTTCTGGCAAAATGGAAAAAAGTGCATGACTTTTTTGGGGAAAATACCAACCACAAAAATTAAGTGCCAGTTATGTATTTGCTTCGTTCAACGAAAATTGTTGACTATTTTCATGGCATTTTGAAACCAAGAACAAAACAGATTTCTATTGATAAGTTTCTAAAGAAAGGACCTCGAATGCTGAAAGCAAATCAAATGCCACAAAAGTCCTTAAGTTCTGAGTGAAAACACCAGAAACCTTCTTATGAAAGGTTTGTAGTTTAATAAAAGCTGTTTATTTATTTCATTCTCTCTTATGTTCTTATTACTTGTACATTTTGTGATTTAATTTCTTACTGTCCATTTTCTGTTTTATTTTTTTAAATTAAGACATTTTGGATGGTTATGGGGAACTTCCATTAATTTCAATGGGGAAAAAAAATTTTGTAATACATGTAATTTGCAATACAAGCTCAGTCTGGGAACTACCGTATTTGACGGCATATAAGACACACAGGTGTATAAGACTTGCCCCCAATTTCAGCAGGGCAAATCAAGAAAAAAATTAGTAAGATTATTAAAATTATTAGTAAATGGCTATATTTATGAGGTATTATTTTGGTTAAACAATCCATGATTACAATTAAATGAAAAATAATACCTACGAGCCTATAAAAACTATATTATATCCAAAGGTAAGAAAACAAAATAAAAATCAAGCAATTATTACAATTGTACAAAACAGTACAGTTACCTTTAAAATACAGTCAAAAAATTTTCCTTTACATGATCTGTACAACGTGTGTCTTGTAAACGTCTTAGTGGAATAATTAGGATATAAAAATTCTGATTGTATTTATATCAGTGCAACTGGGAGTTATTGCAAGAAAAATATTAATGAAACAAATATATTTTATAAATGTATAATTTGAATTTATTGTGTATAATTTTAGTGAAACGCAGTACTAATATTAAATGTGATGAAATTAATATAATGCATATTATTAATGATAACACTTTTAATCTGTATAAAACCCTTTACATAATGACAATAAGTATATGAAAGTTACTCTAAAGTCTAAGCTAATAGGAATTGCCAGGTAGCTAATTTTGGCCGATTATCACAAATTTTAAACCTACATATAGCATATAAGATGCGGGTGAATTTTAAAAGATATTTTTAATAAAAAACTATATACTGTCAAATATGATAATTAAACTCAAACTGCAAGTTCCTACTGTATTTCAAAAACAGGATAGAAAAGTTCTAAAATTTTTGCTGCCCATTTATTTGCCAAACAAAATTTTACCAATATTGTTTTTGTATTTAAACAAAAACAAATTCTTTCCCAATTATAACAAGTTTTTATTTTATTTTTTATTAGAATAAAGACTATAAAAAAAAACCCTGCCTTATTGATATTACCTGATAATCCATACAAAGTTTGAACAAGCTTTTTAGTTTAATTTTTTTAACTATAATGGCCAAATTACAGAACATTTCATATATGCCTATAAACTGTTGACATTTATCACAGCCATTTTAATCTAATTTGAATAAGATATAAACATTTGTCCATCTTGCAAAGGTTGAAGAACAACTCCACCAAAAATTTATCAACATTGAGTTTAAAAAAAGTCTAATTATCCAAACAAAATTTGAAATGTCAATGATTATTCCCAAAATTATATACAATATATAAACACTGTTATTATTGGAATTTTTTAACTGAGTTATTAAATTATTGAACAGCTGAATTATGCAAATGTTTTTTTTTTTTGTGTGTGTGTGGGGTTTAAAAAAATTTGCATTGAACTTAATTTAAAAAAAATCTCTCTAGAGAATGTTCTATAATTTAAACTCTTTGAAATTTGTTTTTCAGGTGGTTACACTTCAAGAAGCCAAATTGCTATTAAAAGAAGATGATGACCTGATAATTGCTGTATATGATTACTGGTTGAATAAGAGGTTGCGCACTGTAAGTGAAATTTGTCTTACATTTGGGGTTTTATTTTATATTTGTAATAAATATTAATGATATAAATACTAACTTTTTACTTTTTGCAATTTATATACATCCACTTAAAGCATTATTTCAGTCATTTGCTCTCCTTTACTTTTTATTACAGTACCATTTCTTGTCTCATCTTTCTAAAATAAAAACAAATAACTGACTATAGATTGTTCTTAAGGTTTCACTGATTTTAATCTGAATGGAAAATGAAATCACTCTCTTGTAACCAAAGGTATTTAATAGCGACATAAATTAATTTCATGAAACTCTATGAAAACAAACTAAATTTTCTTTCTTTTAGTGTATTAATAAAATAAATTTTTAGATTTATGTGCTTAAGGAAATATTAAAATTAAATAAAAATGAACAAATGTATATTTGTTTAATTTTTATTTATATTTTGGAAACCTTTTGTTTTGTTTGAGGCATTTCATTTGAAGCTGCCTTATGACTATGACCATATCTATTGTGCTCTGGTTTACTCTGACTTATGGCCATATCATGTCGAAACATTGGTTCCTGTATGATCACTGAAGTTAAGCAACATTGAGCTTGGCCAGTAGCTAGATGGGTGACCGCTTGGGAATATCAGGTACTATAAGCTTGAATGTGTTGGTGGCGTAATGGATAATGGCTCAGGATTGTTAAAGAACCAAGTTCCAATTTCAGTTAGGTTCATTATTTTCACTTACATGAAAACACCCTTGGAAAAGCTATGAGTTCATGTTCACGTCACCAATATTAGAAGAGCTGGGTTGTTAGATTGAGATTTGACCACTACTTATTTGATATTAACTAAGGGTTATATTGAAGCATGTGAAACTCTTGACTGAAAGCAATTTTTGTAGGTATGATGGATGGGCAGAGTGAGCTTGGTGTGCAGTTTTCTTTTACAAAAATAGATTTATGATCTTTGAGTTTGTTTTCATTAAATTATTTTGTCTTTTCTTGAAGGGAATGATTTTTGTTAGATAATCTTGCCCCCAAAATGAAATATATACTGTATAGATGTAGTAACTACACTCAAATACTGTTAGATATGATGCCACAGTTGTCTTAATTTCAGAAAGGTTTCTAAATTTTTAATAATTTTTTATGCTTAATTACTGCTCATTAAGTGTTTTGTTAAAGAAGTTTTTGAGTCCCTTCTGAAGAATGTCTTATTGTATTTACAGCAGCATCCATTGATCCTTCAAGTGAAAACTGAGAAGAGAGATGGGTCGACAACCAATAATCCTTATGTGGCTTTCAGGCGAAGAACAGAGAAAATGCAAACTCGAAAAGTAAGTTTTATTTATGATGATTACACACAAATATATCAATCAAAAAATTGTTCAACCAAGTTCTCTTCAGAATCTTTTTCTATGGGATATTTTCTCGCTTTCTAAAGAGAACAGACAACTTTACAAACCTTGAAAAATAGTTACTTGCAAATATTAAAAAAAATGTATTTCAAATTGCTTGTAGTGTAGCTGGATAAATGTGATGAATGAAATTCTAATTATTTCAAGGAATAATTTTATTTTGAAGTTGTTTAATAAATTTCATATTTAAATCTTTACCAGTAAAGCAATGATTTTTCATTTGGTGCTATAATAAATGATACTTGTATTTTATTCTAGAACCGGAAAAATGATGAAGCATCATATGAAAAAATGTTAAAATTACGACGGGATCTTTATAGGGCTGTGTAAGTATAAACATATTGACATATTTTCTTCAAGGTATGTAACTCATCTGAAGCTAATAATACTTCAGTTTTCCAAATGTATTGTTAGTGAGTTATATGAGTTTTACATCTTTCAATTCAAGATTTCTTTATATTTCAATTCACATTTGAAACTTTCACTGAAGAGATACCACTTAAAAAAAAAAAACAAAAAAAAAAACGTTTTTTGTTATTTTAGGATAGAGTAATCTTCTATATTACTTCTTTTTTTTTTTTTTCTTTTTAAATTATAAAGTTTGCAGAGATACCTTTTAAATAAATAGTATTGAGCCTGACCAACCAGCACCTGAATCTTTCTCGTTAAAATCAAAGATGATAAACATATAGCTTATTGATTTTCTTTGAACTAATTTTCTTGTTTTTGGTTTGTTTGTTGTTGTTTTTTTTTCTCTTATTCTTTCCCTAACATTTTAGCTATGTGCTCGTCAGCCTTCCTGTGGTATCGGTTTCATTCCAGAATGTTGACAAATTGTATTTTAGGGACACATATGCATCTAATTTTTGAATTCCTGTTTCTGAGGCAGTTTTAATTGTTAAAGTCAGCTATGGCACAAAGACAGATTTCATAAAGAACTCCAGTCAAACTCACTCAAAATGGTTTACAAAAGTAAGCTTGATGAATAATTTGAAAATAAATGTCTGAACTTGTTTTCTGCATTTAATAATTTTTCCAAATTATTGACTTTAAGGGTGTTTTTGATCCTCAAACTATCTAATAATTTTCAATATGTATTTATTTATTTCCTGTCCCATCTGAGGGCCTAAGACAGACTGAAATATAAGCAGTAATAATAAGCATTTATTTACTAATAACAGTTACTTTCAAAACAGTAGTAGTAGTTAAAACATATAAGATAAAGTACTTTATGCAACTAACAAATAATATGTAATGAAGATTTATCTACCATATATTACAAAGTTATGATAAAAAATAAGCCATCATTTTTGACGGCATGGATACACTAGTCTTTCAAATAATTGTTGCCATTTCTAAAAGTTATAGAGGCTGGTTATGATCTAAGGGGACTTAATTCTGTATGTTTCCTTTTATTCTTTAGTGACAGTTGTGATCTTGATGCTCGTCAATCCTACTGATTTGAAAAGATAAACTCGTCTAGTTGCTTTACACTCTTCAAAAAAAATAAAGTCTAAATTGGTTACATACAGTACGTAAAATAAAACACTTGATCAAAATTCATTTTCTAGCAGTTCTTTTCTGCATACTCCTTTTAATTCATTGCCAATTTAAACATAATATCTTTTTCTTTTACAGGACATTGCTTGAAATGATAAAAAGGCGAGAAAAGACGAAAAAGGAAATGCTACAATTAACAATTGAAATTTTAGAGAAACGGTAAGATGTGTTACAGTTTAATTTCCAAAGCAATAACGTTTTTGTTTCTTTTTGAAAATATCAGTATATTTTCAATGTCAATATAAAGTCATGTTAAAACTTCCTCATAACAAGAATTTAAAAGACTGAAAATGACCAAAAACTTCAATATATTAAACTAAAGAAAAAGTTACCCTAGGTATGTGAAATATTGTTTTCTTTCCATGTTTAACTTTTTTGTTCAGGGCCTGGAAATTGCTCTGTTGAAATAAAATAAATGTATCTATAAAACTATCCTGTGATGGTGGTTTCACTTTTGCAGTTGTGGCGTTATAAAGCTTTTTATTTTTTCCTACAGATATCAGTTGGAAGACTTCCATGGTCAGCTTTTAGCTGATGCCGAAGCACAGAAGCATTCCAGACCATCCTACATTTCTCCCTATGGTGTGGCTAGGCAAGGAGAATGGGCTGATGGTGTCAATGGAGTAAGCAACTTGCTTAACTTGCTTTTTACTCTAGCAAAAGATGCATATTCCTTTCTCCCCCCTTCTTCTAAATGGACCCATATTAGCCATCACCACAGCCACCTTAGCGGTGGCTACATTTTGATCAAATCTACAATTTGTTTTGTATAATTGAAAAGAGCTTGAATTTTTATTCTTTACATGCTGGTTACCTTTAAATTGACAAATGGAATGCGTGCCAGACATTTATTTAAAAAAAATTCTCAGTCTGTTCAAACTACAGGTAAAGTTAAAACAAATTCTTTAATTAACTGTTTTGAAATTTTGTATTTCGTACTCTGTCATAAAATATTATTTCAGATTTCTTAGATTCAAACTCTAATTGGTTTTGCTGCTTAAAAATCAAAATTTGAATTTTAAATATTTGTACTATAAACAATATCCTTTGCAAATTCAAGACACAGAAATTTGCATATCCTTTGCAAATTCAAGACACAGAAATAAGAAAGTTGCTACTGAGTAATGATGCAGTAATAATTATTGTTAATAATAACATTATACAGTTATAAATAAATGATTTTGAAAAAAACAAAATCTAACAAAACAAAAAACAAACTGTCTTTATCTCTGTATGCTCTTTGCAGTAATGTCAATAGCCCAGCTTGATTATTCTCAAAGACAATATCTGTTTAAAAGACTCTGTTTTTCTGTTCAGGAGGAATCATTACAGAACAACAAAAAGCGTATTTATCGGAAAAGGAAACACCGACAAATTGCTCAGCAGCAAGGTGCAAGTCTTAGTAGCAGCCAAACAAGTCATTTCAATGATGTTGTGGATTCTCTACAACCCGACATGTATAGTTCTGATGAGGAAGGGCTTTCACCTGTAAGTACTTTCAGGCTTTACTCATGCTCCTTTTTAAAAATTGCAACTACAAGCGTTTCTACATTGTCATTTGTTATAAGACAATTAAATATATCAAGGCTTTTATATGAAATAAGCTGGATATGAAAGATATTTTCCAATTTACTATAGCTGTGTTTCAAAGCACAACTTCAGGAAAATTTCCAATTGAAAAAGATTCTTAATTCTGTTAAGCAACGATAATGTTGCTTAACTTTTATAAATATTTCATTACGTTTTTATAATACAAGCAAGAGCATGACTTTGTGATTTAGATGTAGGCAATTTATAATATTATATAATGATCCCAAATGAAGAAAGCATTTATAATATATGTTCTGGGGGGTAATGTTTTAGTGAAAGACTTTGAAATATAACAAACTAGTTATAGCTTATATGAAAGCTTGTTTCTGGAAAATAAAATAAATTGTTTACTCAAGGTGATATGACATTTTTGGTATATATATATATATATATATATATATATATATATATACACACACACACACACACACAAACAAACTATATATCAGACTAATGGTAGGTAATTGAATGACAAAATGTAAAAATTTGCTGTAACACATTTTGTCTTTCTAGGGACTTCATCAGACTAAAATAATGTGCATATTGAAATTATGTCAGAGGAGAGGGCAAAAATAATCATTTTGTCTTATAATTTTTACCATTTCCTACAAATATATAATTCTATCAATAGAAACATTATTTTAGTTTGAAGTCCTTTTGAAGGATGAAATGTGTTGCATACAAATTTTACATTTTGTCATTCAATTACCTATGACACTTCTTTGCCACTGCAAATTGATTCTTTGCTTCTACAGACGTTTTAACTCTTAATGTTTTTCAGGATTTTAAGTATCTTGTTATTCATTATATATTTTGCTGTATTTTTACATATGTTGTCAATTTTCCAATCTGTGTATATTTTGCATCTTAGTCATAAAAGGAAAACATTTGTTATGAAACTAATGCTTTTATTATTTCTTTTATTTTTTATTTTTTTTTTAAACAGGGCATGTCACCATCAGATCATGAAGATGAAAATGATCCTGATGGACAGTTTGCATTCAGAAGGAAAAAGCATTGCAATTACTATGCAGTAAGAGAAAAACTATTTTTCAAACTTTATTTTAATAACTGTCCTATTTCATAAAAAAACTACATCATTTATTCTTTATCAGTAAATCATTAGTTGCCTGTTGAGGCTTTTAATAAAAGCTTATAAATTATTGTTGATTAGATATTGACATATAGGTTTTGTAGAATTTAAGAAGCACTTAAGTAAAACTTTTTAAAAAGGTATTATTTTATTTTAATATTTTGCATTTTATTTCCTGTATTTCAAATATGGAACATTTCTACAATTTTGGGAACTTAACTGGATTAATTTATGCAATTTTTTTATTTTATTTTAATTTATTTATAGAGTAATTAGCATATCTTGAAAATAAAAGTAAATTAATAAGAAATTAAATTTGATAATGATTTTTAACAATTCTTTCTGATTGATTACTTAATTTATTATTTTATTTTGTTTTTAATAATTTCATTCAATGCAACAATGACTAAACTCTTAAAATATTTTCTTTCTTTTAGCCATTGGTTGGCCGATTAGGAAACTGGCCTTGGTGTGGCCCTGAAGAAGGTGGTTTAACAGACAAAAGATTTAGGTTTTCACTTATGTCTTTACCTCCACCACACAATTGTATAAGTTATGCAAGGAGACGAGTGGGACGAGGTGGAAGGTAAGAAAAAAAAAAAAAAAAGAATCCATTCAGAAATTGAAGTCTCTCTTTCGTCTCTCTTTCTCTTTTTTTTTTTTCTTTTACTTTTTTCTTTTTTTCTCTTTTTTTCTTTTCTTTTTTCTCTCTTTTTCTTTTTTGGACAAAGCCAAATTTGTGAATCCCCATCTAAAAATGAACTCACATTAACAGCTTATAATTCTTTGAAAAGATTTAAATTCAAGCTTTATGCAATATCATAAATTTACATAACCAGTGTGTTTATGTATCAACAATATCATGAGTTCATGCATCTTCATAAATAGACATGACATTTGTTTGAGTGCTTACATGACTTAATTGTTACTCTACATTACTTGATTGAAAATAGTATATACTTTGAAATCTTATTTTTGTATTGTTCATTGATCCTATTATAGTCTAATATTTTTCATCAAAAAAATTATTTTAATATATCCAATGTATAAAATTTAATTTTTGTATGTTTTTTTTTTATTTTTTTTTTTTCTCAGAATTCTTGTAGATAGAGCTTTTACTCCACAAAATGCAATTCTTGAACAGCTGGATCTGTCAAGCTCAAATACTGCCACGGGTATCCATCGTGATTATATCACATACATCAGGGAAAGAAAAATGTAAGTGTTTTCATGAAGATATTCAATTGAAATTTATTTAGTAATTTTTTTTCTTGTACATTATTGTAAATTTGTATTTCATAGTTAAATTGGAAATAAAAGAAATTATATTTTTCCATTGTAAGTAGATTGGAAATTCATATTTGAATAAGTTTGCAAAAATCTGAAAAACTGACCAATTTCTTTTAAATTATTGAGTATCAAAAGATTTTGATTTTCTTTTTATGTGAGCAATAAAACCAGTTTTAGTTATGATTGGAACACTGAAAACTATGAGTATTTACTAGTTTGTAAAAGGAAAGGTGAGAAAATGTTATTTATAACTTTATGCAGAAAGAAATGATGCTGAACAAGGAATAAGCTATGTAGATATCAATGGGCTACATTTGTCAGCAGGAACTATCAAAAATTCAAGTACACTTTGTTGGATTTAATATTCAATTTAAGCTTATGTTTTCACAATGAAATTTATATTAACCAACCAATATTGGTACAAATTTCAAGATATATTTATAGGGTGTGCAGATGGTGTAATGGTTAGCAGTTTTAAATTGTGTGTGTATAAAGAAAAATAGAAGAGGATTAAGCTGAGAAAGAGAATGTTGGGGTAGGGGTAAAGTCAGTGAGTGATGATGAGAAAAACTAAAACCTTTTTTATTCTCATGTGGATGTGCAGGTGGTGTAATGTTTAGTGGCTTGGAATGAGAAATTGCGAAGCCAAGTTTGAATTTCAGGCGAGTCTGTTACATTCATTGCATTTCTCTTGGAACCATCATCAACTTTGAAAAGACCTAAAATTTTACTGTCTATAATATTAACTCAAAATGTTGCTCCACCTCCTCTCGGTTATTTTGAAATCTATGTTGATTGACTGTTTTCATGAAGGACTTAACCTTTAGCCTAGCTATTGTTAATCCAACATAGCTCAATATTTGTCACTAAAAATTAGAGTTGAGAAATCAGTTTACATGTACTGCCTTGCTCAAATACAAGTTTCTCTTTGTGATGTTTACTTAAAGCTGATAGTTTTGTTGTATCATGTCTTTAGTCAATGTTCTTAATATTCTGCATCTTTTCTCTCTTTATATTAACAAGATTAATTTCTTTAAATATTTTCTTTCTGGTCAATCCACTATTTTTTACTATTATCCTCTATTAATTTTTTTCAAATCTCTTCATAGCATTCTTAAAGCCATTTTTATTTTCTTGTTATCTTGTCAGTTTTTTAATTATATTTTTGATTGTTGTCTCATCTCTGTTCAACTTTTTAATGATTTCCAACATTATGTTCCTGCCACTCTATTACTTTACAATATCATTTCTGTTTTGAGGTTATATATTTCTTATCACCTATGGCAAGATTTATGTACCTAAAATAAAAAAATAAAACTAAATAAATATGCTATTGTATAAATTTATTCACAATATAATGAACAACTCTTGAGTTTCATAAAATCTCATACCCCCAAATAAGTTAAAATATTTCTATTAAAAAATATAAGCTGAAATTTGCATGATATATTTATCATAAATATATCCTGAAACTTTTACCATTATCAGTTGGTTAATACCTTATTTATTGTGTCTATATTGACTTGCATAATAAAATCTGACATAGTGTAATTGTCTCATGAGACCCAACTTCTATTTACATCTATGCATTGTCATTGATAATTTTTTTATTAATATAAACTCTTAGGCATATGAAAATGATTGTTAAATATTAAACAACTTGAATATTCAAGCAGTTTTTGATTGAACCAGTTTCATTTTGTACATTGCACAATTAAGCATCCTATTCAAACAAGAATATAATCTATTTTCATAGATGCTGTTTTTATTTTTTGTCTACAGATTAAAGGATGTTATGTTAAAACCTTTTTTCTTCTCTCCATCAAAAACAACACAAACAAAACATGGTATTTTATGTAGTTCTTGCATTTGAGGGGAGGATTTGCAGGAATAAATACGTAAAGATAATATGTTAAGTGATTTTTTTCAAAGAATTGTGGCAGTATTTTTCTATTTAGTTAACAGGTTTGTAGATGGCAGTGACCAAAACTATTTCTTTGTATGACCCACTTAGATGTTGATGTGAAATTTCTAAACAATGCAGATAATTTATGCAGATATAGTTTGCTGTAACTATAAAGAGCAAAATGAATTAAAATGATACTTATTTCTGATAGACAATGACATGGGATTTTTAAATGAGCATCTAGATTTGGTATTTAATCTAGATGAAGTTTGAAAAGCACTTCCCAATTAATTTTAAGGATAACTTAACATTTACATGTGATATCACATTCTGAATGGTTTGTTTTACTTCCTATTTTATTGCCTTATCATCGCAAAGATCTTGTTGAGATAACAATTTAATAATTTGATAAGTGTTACTTTCCACCTTTTTTTTTTTTTGCCTCTGCCATCAACTTTAATATTTTTTCTTCATTTAAATAATTAATCACAAATCAATAGCCAGTATTTTTATTGGTAGACTTCATTTTGTTCATCTTGTAAATATCACTGAATATATAAATAGAATTATATGAATGCATTTAGTTAAAATAACTTATTTATTACAATGTTAGTTTTTACTTGAACTTAAAATGGAAATGTAAACATACCAAAAAGTGAAATCTGGAAATGAAATTTTATGCCATTTACTTTATTTCATGTCTTTATCCCTATTTAATTTATTACTGGATTTCTAATCATGGAACTTGTTTGGATAACAATGATTAAATTTAAAGTGACTGGTTTGTTGTATTGGATTCCAATTGTTTTCATTGTTTCAGTCCACATTACACATGGAGACGGCAAGTGAAGGAGGAGAGCCGTAGTCCTTGTTCTTCTGCATCCACAGCGGAGACGACGACGACGACGACGGCATCAACTGCAGCATCCACGACAACCAACAGTGCATCTACAACAGAGTTTAACTTTGAAAGCTTTCAGAATCACAGAGAAGAAATTTTGTTAATGCAACAAAAACAGCGTCAACGCCTGGAATCTTCTGAGGCTGATAATTTTCAGACACCTGAACAACATTCCACATCGTCATCCAACCATTCTTCATCCCATCTCACTTTGGACTCTGCTAGTGCAAAGTTTGCTGTGTCAGCTGTGAGAGACACCACACAGCTGCAAAACTCATCTGGTGCTAATTCCCATTCATCCTCACCATCGTTGTCGTCATTATCCAATGGTCCCATCACAGAATGTAAGTTACCACTCTCTACTTTTTATTGAATTTGAGTCATTTTAAAAAACTAGTTTTTCTGCAATGTGAAATGGTACAACTCTGTTGTATTGTTTTGTATGATTGTTCATCCGTACAAAAAGCTGGTTCCCATCACCACTTTTGTAATGTACAAGTCAATCTTTCGGTCGTTTCTATTAATGACCTAGTATTCAAAGTTAACATAATCTACTTTATATCCATATTTATATATGTTTTTTTTTCTTTTGGCTTTTCTAAAGCACATTTCCAAGACAACAGAATTGTCTTTTGGGTGTGGTCATTCCTTTCAGTAACTACAGGACTGATTTAGTTATTTGGAATATTTTATAAAATCTTCCAAACCAGCTAACAATATTGTTGACATAAATTTCAATTATTTTATAAAATAAAATTACAAAATAAGAGGAATTTATTATAACAGATTTGAAAAAAAAATTTTATATATATTAATGTATATTTGGGCAGCAACCATCTTGTCAGCATCTTTCATTAAATATGTCAGAAAAAAAGGGGATTTAATTCATTTTTTATTCAGTTTTTCCAGCATCATTGCATTTTTGTTTTATAGGAATAATGGAGTACAGAAATTTTTCATAAAATTAATTGTCCCAAGCACTTTCAGTCATTTTCAAGAGGGTTTTGCATTTGGTGTTAGTTTTTCCTCATGTTTTGACTGTATATTAAACATCTGTCTCCTATCAATCTCACCTTATTTAATAGTAGAAATGGAGAGTTAAAAGTTTTTTAAAAATAGGAAGATGCTCCTGTGAATTCCAGCCATGCTCAACCTGTGAAGGCTTGGAATAAACATTCTTATTCAAAACAACACAAAAATAAAATAGAACTTAAACAGTCAAAACATTAGGAAAAACTAACACCAAAAGCAAACCCACCTTGAAAATGGCTGACAAAATGGCTGAAAGTGCCTGGGCAATGAAAATTATAGAAAATTTCTGTACTCCCTCACTCCTACAAAACAGAATAGTGTAAGGATGCTGGAAAAACTAAAATGCAAATATAAAAGAGGACACTGAGGTCAACATCAAGCAGTGACAGTCTGTTTCATGCTTAAATGCAATCTTTATGACCTGAAGATGAGACACTGTCACCACTTTGTGTTGACCCCAGTGTCCACTTATATATATTATTGAAAGAAGTAATGCTAGTCTTATTGATATGAAAAAATGTTGTTATTGTCCTTGATTTTGTTTCTACTTACTTTGTCTATAGGTAAAGATAACCAATTTAGTACAAGCCAAACAGCTGCTGTACTGCAATTAAATCTCAATCAGCCATCACACAGTAGTGATTCCCATCTGCCATCAGGACTTGTTTCACCTTCAGTTGTACCAGCTTTAAACATGACCTCTAGTAAAGTGATCACATCATCAAAATCTGCTTTACCTGTTCTCAAGCTTTCAGCTACCAACAACACCACCACCACCACCACCACTCTGGAATCTTTCAAAAAGTAAGACAATGCCTTTTATTTTATTTCCCTTGATTATTAAAGATACATTCACAAATGATATAGAATCAACAATAGAGCCTCTTATAGATAACCATGGATATACTCAAGACACTCTTGTCTAGCTGTGGGGTTTTTCAGTTCTGAAAAACCTGAATATTCAAACACTGAAATTCTCATTAAATAGTTTGTCTGAAAAATAATTTATTTACCTGTACCTTTAAAAAAAATGTTTCTCACTTTTTCTTCAGGTGTTATTACCTAGATTTAAATTAATTTAATTTTGTTCTGATTTTAATTCTGTTGATTTCTGGTTATTTTTCACCTTTCTAATTGAGTCTCTGCTTATTCTATTTCATCTCAAAATATACAACTTTTCAATTTAGACCATAAGTCAATGCCTAGTCAGATGTTGTAATGGTACTTTTAAAAAAATGGTACTTTAACCCTTTGGAGACAGAGCCTCATTTGGAGTTTCAGCACCAAGAAGACAGCCCTTTTCATAAGCCCTCACTTGAAATGCAAAAAAAATTGATGTAAAATCACAGAACACAGCAAACTATCATAGAAGCCACCATTGAAAGGCCCCAATGTGCAATAAATGTGAGAAGCAATCTGATTGGCTGGTAATCTCAAGGCTTGTATTATTGGAGAAAAGAATCAACCCCGTTGTCTTCTTTGTCATTCAACTTTTCATCTGATAGATTGGCCCTGTTGTCTCCTAAGGGTTAAAAAAAAAAAAAAAAAAAATGAACAAATATTATACTGCATGTAGTAATGTGATGCATATGTCTTATAAAAAGTGTGTGTGTGTTAATTTTTCTTTTTACTGATAGTTCCCTAGTTATTGTTGTAGAACCCTGTAAATTTGGAATGCTAATTTGTAGATTTAGATTTTTATATATATATATATATATATATATATATATATATATATATATATTTTTTTTTTGTGTGTGTGTCAGCATTTTCCATCAATATTTTTCTCATTTTGTGTATTGTTTTCTGAAGTCTATTTCATTGGAAATAACCTCTTTTCTTTCTTTCTCTCAGACAGACTTATGAAGATGGAAGTCTTCTAAGTAACTACAGTAAAGACAGAATTGTACCAATGGATGTAACCTGATCCTTTATTGGAGTTTTACCTGATGGACTATTTGAAAGCCCTAAGAGACTTTTGTACTCCTCCTCTTGTACCCCTAGAATGCTCCATCTTCCTGCCAGTGATGAACCACAAGCTGTAGCTGCTCTTGCCTGGTCTGCCTGTCTCTCTGTGTACAGTGCATTGTTTTGTGTAGGTTATCTAGCTGCTACTACTACTACTATTATTACTACTACTACTCTTGTCTGCACCTCTTTACTGTCAACATGGTGGTATCCACTGTGCCACCACGTGCAGTACTACTACTACTACTACTACTACTACTATTACTACTCACTGACACACCAGACAGACATTAAACTGGGGGTGGGTCAGCTGGCAGTAGGCTGGGTGACAGCAGTTAGGGTCTGTGGCCGGTGTTTGACTACAGTAAGATTTTACCAGGGAGTACGAAGAGCTGGATAGACAGATATCTATCTGTAGCGGATGGAACATTTGAAATTTTACCCTCTGTCAGCAGGAAGCAACGACCATGATGTGATGCTATGTTTTCTCCCATGGAGAAGGATTATGACAATGGAAATAACAACACAAAACAAAATGGAAAAAAAATGGCAGAAAATGAAAAGAAACAAGAGAAAAATGCTTGTGTGACGATTTACCTGCACTGATGTCAAGTGTATGTCAATGGAGTCTCCTATTACTTCTATCCCCCCAAAAGAAAAAAAAAGCTTTCTTCTGGCAGCAAGATACAGGACAGTTGTTGTTGTTGTTGTTGTTGATGTTGTTGATTTGCTGCATGTCAAAAGGGAAAACAAGTACAAAGAAATAATGAAAGCTAACACTTAGCCACCACTTGCATCTATAAAGGAAAAAGAAAAACACATTTATTCACCACTTGCATCTTTAAAAAATTAAAAAAAAATCTTTAAAAAAAAAAAATTTTTTAAATTCCACACTTAGTCACCACTGCATCTTGTTCAGTTACAGGCAGTGATGTTTTAGAGGTTTTGCTTCTAAAGTTTGCTGTTTTAACTGACCCATGAGAGACACAAAAATGTTTGCAAAAGCTAAAATCATCCCAAATTGAAAGGAGAGGTTTGTGTGCATATGTGAAGGTCTTCAAATTGTGGTCAACTGGTTCAGTTCTTGAATGCCTTTGTTCTAAATCTTAGTTGTAGTCACCTACTTGCATATCAAAAATTGTCATAGATACTGTACTATGTTCTGTGTGAATGAGACCCAATCCTTTCCACTTCTAACCAACTCCTGAACCTCATTCCAACCCCCAACATCTTTTTCTTCTTTTCAGTTTATTTCAACTTTACACTCTTCCACACGTTTTGCACTTTCCCCTTTTATTGGCTCTACACAAAGTTTTATTGAATGTGAATTAGAATCTGAGTAGATTTTACTGAATAGCAATCTGATTTTTTTTTTTCCTTTAACAAAATTGAATCCCTCTTGTCTCACATGACTTTTTCTGTTAAAGCTTTTTTGTTTTGTTGAAATGGGCAAAATCCTTGCCCACTGGTCGCACATACTTTCTGGATTTGCTTAGTACTTAGGTATTTACATATGTCCTTGTTTATTTTCCAAGGATTATGTTCTCATTACATAAGCTAATATAAAACCCTTGTAATGATTATTACCTTTTCCATAAATCTTACATTTGCTATCCAATGCATGCATAGTTTCTCAGTAATTTTTTTTTTTTTTTTTTTGCTCATATTTTATTCTTAGGGTTGGTTGGCCTGTTGCTAAGTTGGGTTGGAGTAAATGCGAGAAAAACAGATTTCAGCAGATTTTTTCCTGCTGATGAGAATAAATAAAAAAAAAGTTTAAAAATATTTAAAAAAATAAATAAATAAAAAAAATCTTAAAACTTGCAAATTTTTCCCAGAAAGATGGCTTTTTTGGTATCACCTAAGTGAACCACAACTTGTCATACAAAGAATTTTGTCGTGTTAAGACAAATTATGCAACTGTTTTAATATTATTTTTTTAAATGTTAGATAAATTGTCATGTAAAACAAATTTTATTTCTATGGGGAAGTGTTCCGTCCCAAAACTAATGAATTTTTATATATTTATATATATATATATATATATATATATATATATATATATATTTGTCTTTCACTTCTATCTAATGTCGTCTTTTCTTTTTCTTGAGGTTTTCTTTTAAATAACTGCCACAAATCATAATAGCTTAGATTCCCCTTCAATTTTGTTCAGTTTTGTTAGCATTTATCTTATCAATGCTTTGTTTCTTTTAGCAGATATAATAGCATAAACAAATTTGGCTTCTTGGCTACGAGACCTTGAGAAACTCTTTCAAACCCATACTTAATATTGTCACTGCATTGATGTACTTGTAAAATCCAGTTTCCTCAAGGGACAAATGTGTGTTAACATTTTTAAAGAATTTGTTAGTCATATATCTTATTCCTTTTAAATGAGCAGAATGAGTTCTGTTTTGAAATAATCTGTAACTTTTTTTTTCTCAGAAAAGGGGCATCATGCCATTGAGGACAAGAAACTAAACTTGTCAGTGTACCAATTGTTGGACTGAAAGAATCAATTCAATCTGCTTCTTTTCTTGTATTCTTCCCTCAGATAAGAAAAAATTAAAACATTAATGAAAATAGAAATGCTTACCAGATTCACAAATAATAACCTTAAGGATGACTTTAGTTACCATAGTTACAAAAAATTTACAGATTGAAACTTTACTTTATTTACATGCAGTTGAATGATTTCTAAAACAGTGCAATCATTATTAATAATAAATGATCAGTAATAATACAAAATTGTTATTATATTATTATTTGATCAATATTAAGGCTAAAGTCTTTTACTTTGCTTACTCTTTGGGTTTATCACTAACAATGACATAAACTGATTTTGCTAGCAATGCAAATATAGAATTATTTGGTGGATAAAACTTACTTTTCAAAAATAGAAATGTTTTTATGATAAAACTTTTCCAAATATAGATTGTTTAATTGACTTTTGTAGGAAAAGGCTTAATTGTTAAGTGGTCTAGGGACCAACAAGTCTAAGCTTCTCAATCCTGCTGGAGACTGAATGACATCCTTTTAGTCAGGAATCAGCATTATTCTATTAAATATAGATTTAAGGCATTGAAAAGTAAACTTTCCTATTTAGACTTTTCTTTTCCGTGTTCATCTTATTTTTATGTAATTTGATCTTTTGTTTTTCTAGAATTGAATGTTTCACAACAAAAATAAGGTAACACTTACCTCAATCTGCCTTATCATTAATCTTTTAATTTAAAATAAGAGTTTAATTTTAATTTCAAAGTATGTAGCTAATTTTCTATATTTCAAAGGCCTAATTCGCAATAATTTTTTACCATTTTTTTATAAGTTCCTCTTCTATTGATATTATTCTTTATAAAAAAAATAAATTTTCTTTTACCTCAATACTAAGGGAATTTTTTTCTTTTAATTTCATTTAAGCCTTGGTATATGCTCCCCAACACACATGCACACATTTTTTTTTTTTTTTACCTTAACAGAAATGTCAACTTTTACACACATATCTTCATTTATTTCTTCCCAAACCACTTATCTAGTTGTTAGATTGCCTTGGACCAAATTTTTTTACAATCCTATCACATTGGCATTCCAGTTTACCACAATTTGAATTCAGATTTATTTTTTACTTTCTCTCCATATTTTTTTCTCTCTCTCTCCTTAATACACAAAAACAATTCTTGCCCTCCTTGATATGTGGTAATTTGTCATGCTTGGCATTTGTTGGGGTGAGGTTTGTCACATCAAAAATATACAAATAAACAAGAAAAAAAATGTTCAAAAAAAAAATGACTTTAAAAAAAGAAAAAAGATACAAGTTTGTCCTGCCTCCATAATTTAATTTAATCTATTCAAATGGTTCCACTAGAGCTTGTTGAGAAAATCTTTGATTTTTAATCATTATTTCTGCCTCCTCCTCTTATATTTCTGTTAAGTGGCTCCTTTCCCCTCCCCTTTCAAATGTTTCATTCTATGCAGAGTGTGTGATAGATTGGGATTTTCAAAGAAGCAAACCTTGTACAGAATATAAACTCTGGTTCTTTTGTAACCACTTTGATTACTATTACTCCTTTCATAATAATCTCATCTACCTGCCAGTTGCTGCTGCTGCTGCTTGCTTGGTCTCCATTAATAATCATTGTTAGTAACAACACAAAAGTCAAGTGCATGTCATTTTTTTTTTTCTCTCTCTCTCTCTCGCTCTCTCTAATCAAATTTACTAGTTTTTAATGTGTGTACATGTGATTTTAATTTTTTTATTTTTTTGAATGCCAGCCAGCTAAGACTGTGTGAATGTCTCTCATCTCACCCTTCAAAATGGCACAACAATATCAGGCAGCAGCCATCGTAGTCACCATGTGTGTGCGTGTCTCTCACCCCCTGTCAGCACAGGTCATACATACATCTTCACAGCTAACAAGAATGGTGATGCTAAAAGTAAATACGGGTAGACTGAATTTGTTCAACAACTCTCAAGACCTTGTTTAGACTTAGTGTATATGATTGTCATATTTCAATGAATTATAAAAAGGAATAATGATAGTAATATTAATGGTAATAATAATGATAATAATAATGGGACATTTTATCCTCCCACCCAGCCTTTAAAATCAAGCTGGAGACAGATTCTGTTTTGTCCTTTACCAGATTATTATTGTTATATATATATATATATATATATATATATATATATATATATTATATAAAATTTCATTCCTTTGTAGGTTTTGTAAATAATAGATGAAAAGCCAAGTAAACAAATTATGCAATTGCCTCCACTTTGTCTTGATAAGCACACAGTGGATCAGCATGAATAACAATTTCTTAATGACTGAATGTGTTGAGACATCTAAAAATAAGAGATTGCGGTGTTGTACAAATAACAGAATTTTGCTACATCTGTCTCTATTTATTTATTTCTTTGTAAAATTTTTGGCAGGAATATTAGACATAATTGAGATTCCTGCTGGTAACTTCAGTCAGATGATAAATTAGCTCCATTTGCTTTTTTCCCCCCCTTGTCTCTGTTTCTCATGAAAAACCTTGCTTGTAGAATGCTTGAAAAGGGAGATAACTAATGGAAGGTGAGCGGCCATGATAATTGTAATTTACTCTCTCTTTACTCACTTGTCTAGATTTAACTGAACAACCGATTGCCAGCCATTAAATGATGTTTTAAGATTTCTCGGTCGTTTTTAAATTTCTCCAAATTAGTAACAACCACAGACTCATGGTCAGAAGATAGGAAATTGTTTCTTTATCAGTAGCAAATCTTAAAAAAAAAAATGTTGTTGAACCCTTTGTGCTCAATTGTTGCTGTTATGAATTTGACCAGAATTTTTTTTTTTTTTTGTCTCTAAATTAGATACTTGATTGTTGCCCTAATGTATAATACTGATTGGTGTGAACTGCACTTGAACACTAGGAAAAAATCAAGAGAATCTGTCTTGAGTAAACTTTCATGTTAGTAATTTCTATGGTTGATATCAAAATAGGCCATTTGTCTTGTGTGTTATATTTATGTTTCTAAAGATAAAAAAATATTCAGATAATTTTTTTAAATATGTTTATGGCTGGTGGACTTTCTAGAAAGACAAGTCTGAAATCCTCAAGTTATAATCGCTATATTTCTGGACTTTTAATCAGAAAACTTCATTTTTCTTCAGTTGTCAAATCAGGAAATTTAACCTCTTTTAATGCATTTTATTTGACAATTCATTTCCTGAAGCACTTTGCAACTATTTATGCTTATTGTCTCCTAGAAATATTGGTTTGATCAAGTTAAGTGACTAAACTTGACCAGTATTTTTATCAGTAATGATAAAGAGTGAGGACTTGAATACTTGTTTTTAAGCATTTCTTCATGCATTTAGTTTCTCTAATTGCATTTTATGATTAACATTTTTTAAATACAATTTTTAACTATTTTGCTTATTAAAAAGCAGACTTTCTTCACTGTTTGTGATGCTTAAAATCTGCACTTTAGAAATTTAATATCTACACAAATCTATTCATCTATTCTTTGGTTGTTAGAAATTTCTTTTTTTTTTTTTTTTTTTTTTTTTTTTTTTTTTTTTAAAGTTTTATTTATTCATATATTATTGATTTATTTTTAAATTTTACTGATGTTTCTCCAGAGTTCTTCAGGTGTGGGTTGGGAATCTGGATGTAACTGATAACTTAGAGCTTGACTTGTAGGAACATAATGTTAACAGTTGAATCTTGATTTTATTTTATATTTCTCTGCATTCCCCAGTTTCAGCCAAAATCATAATTTATCTCCCTGAAATTTGAGTTGGTCTCTCTCCTCCCTCTCTCTGTATTTTCAGAAGGAAAAACTCTTTAACAAATGTTTCAGTATTCTACCAGCTTTTTGTAATGGGAAGAAGAAAAAAGTTACAGAAAAGGTTAAATTATTCAGAGTTCTGAAAGTTTCTTCAGATTTAGTTAGCCCCTGTTTTTATGGTTTTCTTATAAACATTTTTTTTTCTTAATGCTAAAAATAATGGTGTGTAGGGGAGGGTAATCTTAAAAGAAAATTTTTGTCTCTAGATGATGCCTCATGTCTTAAACAAAATGCACGCAAACATAATTTATAACTGGCTTCACTTATACTTTGCTTTTTGTGTGTGAAATTTGCTGTTCAGGTTGTTTGCAATTTAAACTGATTTGGAGATTGTTTAGATATGGAAAGCCAAATTCCTTGTGCTGTCCACAAAGTCTCCTCAAATGCTTTGCCTTTCTCTTTATACACATCACCCCATCCCCTCTACCCACTTTTATTAGTTTTTGTAGTGTTATCTACATGAGTAGGTTTGGCTCAAGTAGTAAAAGACAGAACTGAAGGTCAGCTGGTTTGTGGTTTCAGCCAAAATACAAGACTTTATAAAGGTGGGGGTCAAAATTTTTTCCAGTTAAGGCAATGAAATGTGCCCCCCTCTTTTAAGTGGTCATTTTGGTATTCACTTCCTCTTGTTTAGTTATTTACTTTTGCAGCTGGGTAGAGACTTCAGAACAGGGACCCTCTTTCCCCCATCACTGACTCACCCTCCCTGCAGTTCTCAAAAAGCAATTCTTTTTATTATGTCACTTTTTATAAAGATTAAATAAGGCTTCACAGGGTGGGAGCATTAGATTTTTTTTTTTTTTTTACCTCACACTCCTTTTAAAAAAATGAGGAGAAAATTTTAATCTAGCAAAAAACTTTTTTTTTTTCCTGATTCAAATAAAAAGGTTGGGGGAGGGGACACTTTTCTCAATGGTAGATATGTTTGATGTCTAGTTGATGTTTATGCAGATAAAAAAAGAAAAAGGTAACTTTTGCACAAAAACAAAAAAAAAAGCATAAAAGTAATTTAAAAAAAATTAAAAAAATAAAAACCAATACTTAAAAAAAAAAATAAAATGGCCAAAAAAATTATCAAAGAAAAAAAAATTTTTTTTAAAAATACCAATTTGTATTTTTCAGCAGGATGAGTCAAAAATGTTAGCATTGAATTGTTGATTACCTTTTCTGCCATTGTAGCTTTAACATCTGGACTTGAATGGTGATGACTAGGTTAATAAGAAAAGAAAGGCTTTGATCCTTCTATTTCTTAGAGGGCCATCAAGCATTGCATGGCTTTTGCTTTATATATCAACTTTGTCTCGGCCTCTCTGTGTAATGATGTGCAAATGCTGATGAGTTTAGGAGCTGAAATATCTGAGCATCATTATTACTTTTGAATTTGTCTTCATCTTGTTGCTCGTTAACTACAACATTCTAGTTTGAGGTACCATCCAGCTGTTAAAGTAGCTGAAAAAGATCAAAGGCAACCAGACAAAGAAAATGAGTCAAAAATAATTAAAAATTGTGCTTCCATGTTTGGATTTGGTCTCTTTTTTTTTTTTTTTTTTCTCTCTCTCTCTCTCTCCTTCTTCTGCCCACCATTTCTGTTAAGTTGGTTGATGTATGTCAACTGGGTTAGTTGCCCTCCTCCCTCCTGAATACCCACTTTGTCCAAACCAAAAACATACACATACACACACACACAAACACACACTTGTAGATTTAGCTCAAGTGATAGAGCAGCAGACTCAAGTAATCAGCCTGAAGTTCTATCTCAAGTGCTACATTAATTGGAAGTTGTTACCGCCAACTCAAGGAAAACATTTAAGATGTTTTTACTCTTTAGTGGTCAACTTCGTAAGAATTATTGTAGCCTAATGATATCTGCACACACACACAGACACGCACACACATTGCTTGTGTTTTTCATCTGTCATGATTTAAAATTTTTCAGTCTGTACTATCAAAGAAAAAACTAAAAAGAAAAGGAACTTTGGAATTGTCAAACATTTCCTTCTTCATTGAAGATCGATTAGATTGGTCACATGTCCATTCACTCATGTTACAAGTATTTCTTTTTTTAACTGCTGGTTGTGGTTTCTCTTAAGAATGCTGATATTACTACTGCCTCCCCCACCTCTCCCCTTCCTCTTCCCAATGGGGAGTGGACTGGGAGTAGTGGTGGGGGTGCAGCACCGCCATGTTGGTAGCAGTAAAGGTTCACTATGGTCGGTGGACAACTCCCTTCCTTCCTCCTCCTCCTGTGTGTGACCACTCTTTGTTGTTGGATTGGAGGGAGGGTCTGATCGCTGGTAACATGCGCAATGATAGACTGTCTATCTGTGATATTCTGGTGTGTCACACC